TGCCGGAGGGCTTTGCGGCTGCAGCTCCGTGTCCCCGGGTCCCTTGCCAGCCCCGCGTCAAGGTTAAAGCTGCCCGTCTCTACAGCTGCGTTTACAATTCCGCTCGAAGGCGCCTTCCCACAGCTCCTCCGCTCGCAGCATCGCTGCCCGCTGCCTCGCAGCGTTGCTCTTGCTTCCCTGCTGCCTTTCAGAGCAGAGTCCAGGCAACAGTTGCCTGATTATACTGCTTCTCCCTCCCTTACACCTACAGGAGGTCAGATCACTAGTCAGAACAAAGTTTAACAGCAGGTAAAGAAAGACCCTGTTATGTAGTTACTAACAAGAAAATCGTTTGAAATACCTGCGTGTTCTCACGGAGATCAGCTTTGCCTGTGCTCCCATAGGGAGCGGTACTCGCTCATCGTCTGTCTGTGCCGTTCCACCAAAAGCTCTCAGTGCCGTATCGCTGTTGTCTCACAGACTGACCTCTCGATCCTTCTGGAAGCTGTCACTACAATTTGCTTGTATTTCAGTGAGTGAACAGATAAAGTGGTTACCAAAAATGACCAATTTCATCTACATTGTTCCAAGAAGGAGCGAAAGAAACCGTGTTCTCAGCACACATGATCCGTGACTTCGATTCTCATGAAGTGTGTCACTAAAATGGACGTGCCTTTTTAAAATTGGTCTACACTTACACAAGTACAGATATTTTAGTTGGGGACATGGTTAAACGATAGAGTTGTTTTAAAACAGTTTTTCAAACACTAGCTCAGCAAAGAAGGATGCTTTACTTCTAGCCATCTCACTGTGTGCGCCTTGGGAGGGGTGACACAGGCATGTTAAGCTACAGCCACAGTCAGTAACCTTTCAAATGGAGGTGACTACAGCATCCATCTGAGGACCAAAGCCCACGTTGTATGCTGAGCATTGTGCAGCAGAACATCAGAGATGTGGCTCCTGGGGGGCCCTGTGGGACCGTTTCATGACTTTCAGCATTTCCTAACCTTGTAACTTCAGATATCAAACTGGGAGGTAGAGAGAGTTTTTTTAAAATGCTTCCCTTTCTTTTTATTGTGATTTAATAATCAGATATACTGAGAAAAACAGTTTCGTTATGGGCAACCTCTGCAGCAATGGTTACAAATAGTGACATTTCTCAGTTGGTGAGTGGCTCTTGGGAAGAAGACATTTAATGAAAAGCTGTTTTTCAGTGCTTTCTGGAAGAAAACAGGAACATGTAGTCTGCTGCTCTAACCAAAGTGCACACTGCTGCATTTGTAAAGCATTTTACTTTGCTTAGGAAGGGTGGCAGCACATTGGTCATCCCAATGACCAATGCTGGGATTGGAATCCCAGAGCTAGGCACCAGTAAATGCAAAGGTACTCTCACCTTCTTCCAGCAAACAATGGAAACTAGTGGTATACAGAAAAAGCCCTGCAAACTCAACTACCTGCAGCCTCAGTGGAGGAGCAGCTGCACAGTGTGATCTTGGTTTGAGATTGTGGCACATACCAGCCCATAATTGTATCATGACCTGGGAGTGCACCTGCCCTTATGACAGATTCCATGGCAGGGGCATCCCGTCTCCCTGTTCTCAACGCTGCATCACTTGACAAGGGAAGAATCACACAATGCCCGCCCATGCGGAGTACCAAAACCCACCGGGGTTTGGAGAAGCGTGACAATCCTGGTGCAGCATCCCGGGACTTCATTAAGGGACTGGAGATGGGGCTAAGAAGGAGGGGAGTGGGGCTGCAGTCCTCTGAACCTTCTCCTTGCCATTTGTGATGGGCCTGTCATTTTCAGTGAACACAGAAGATGGTTACAGATCCTCACAACATAAATATTTCTGTTCTTAATACAGGCCAAGGCCAAAGTTTATCAGCATACCATTGCACTTGCACAGGGCACAGAGGAGAAGCCTCCCTCTTTCAGCCACTTCATAGCAATGATTTTCTTGACCCAACTTTGTTTCATCACCAGATGTCTTTGCAGACTGACAGCTTAAATCTCTGTAATAGCAGGTTATATGTACCTGTTGCACGTACTCTCTAGCTTATTTATCATGAGGTGGGAAACTACTACTGACTGTTATCCCACTTAAGGTAATGGGAGAAAGTAAGCTTTGAGGTATTACACACTTGTGCCTGTAAATTCCTGTGTATGAGCCGGCATTCTGTGTCTGTTAACATGGTCCTTGAATTTTTGCTGTATTCAGGAATTAACTATTTAAAATAAAGGCTTTTCAGACTGACCAATGTACACTAGCTCTGCTACAAAACTTAAAATGATCCTGAGCCATTTTACAGGTAATTATCAGTATAAAAAATAAGGTCCACAGCCCATACAATGGCTTCTTACCCATAACCTTTGGGAGCCTCTATTTCTTTGTCCCCATCTTCAGTTGGGAGGCAGAGTGGAATAGTGCACGTGGATGCAATGGACCTATAAAAACAAGAGTACAGGTGAAAAGAAGGAGGCATGAAACATTTTCTGGTAAACAGTCCTGACTTCTTTGTGTTAAAAACACCAAAGAACTACTAGCAGAATCAATTATTATAAATAATACATTTAACAATAGAAATAAATATCAGCTAAACCAATTAAATCAAATTCATTGTGGGGCAGATCCATTGACAAATGCAGTCCATCATGGGGGGAAAAGGGACCCTTGTCAGTAAATTCCCCATGAGATTTATACAAAAGAGAAGAGGTTTTCCAGTCAGTTAATTCATACTTTACTATTTCAGAAAGCACATTCAGCAGCCCCGTTTTTTCCTCCGTAGCTCTGAAATAGCACATTTATAAGATCAGTCTGATACTATCAGACTCGCACAGGATTACTGGAAGTTCAGCAGAAGGTGCTGCTGTTATTTGACTCTACTTACCATTTTCATAACTAAGGCTTGGGATTGCTTCGCTAGTTGATCAGTTCCAATTGGCCAGGGTCGGTTTGTCTGTGGAGAACCAAGATGTTGAATTACAAAGAATATGTAAAAGTGCAGAGCTTTTTCCTGTGTCCTCTGTGGAGGTTTAGGGAGCTCACCTGTTGAATCTCAAGTCAGGATTTAGACAAGTCAACTCCTGCTCTTACCCCTCCTTACAGAAGTGACATAGGTATGAGGAGGGAGCCTGTGGGGAATGGCCATTTGGATTATCTCGAGTTGGCTACTGGGTGGTCACCAAACTAGGTGTAGTGCAACCACAGGCAGTTTTTCTCTGTACCTCATGAGCAGTGACACAAGGGTTAAAACAGCTGATGTGGCTGAAGCCAATCTGGATGCGCAGAAGGGACATGGTCCTAACTGCTCCAGTTCTAAGAGCGGGGTACACAGGTTCCCGTAGGCCAGTGTCCAGAAAAATGCTATGACAAGCTCACCTACAAGTTGTGGGATTAAAGCTACGTTCTTATTTTAGATGAAGGTTTTTATCATCTGGTCAACAATTGTAGCTAGGGCAGAAGCCAGTTTTACAAGCTCCAACCCAAATTGGTGTTGCGTAGCAATTACAGGCATGCCTTGAGAGATTTATTGCAGAGAACCTAAATGATAGAGGAGGACTTGAGGCTAGCAGCTTTACACAGGACAGTGGCTTATAGCCCAACTGCCAGAAATGACTGGAGACCTGCTGCAGACTAGCTATTGCTTTAGCTGGTAACAGGCATTCATGGCTACACAAGCAATATTGCTTTTTGCTGTGAAAGAAGGAAAAGAAAGAGAAGTGGAGGAACAGAAATGGAAGGGAAGACTATAGGTGGTGTATGTGCCCAGCATTACACAGTCATATAACTCGCTTCACCCTATCGTCACTCTGTTGGAAAGCCACAGGAGAAACTGCAGGAGTCCATGAAATCCTAGCTTTTTGCCCTCATTGCCTCTGGCAAGCTGCAGTACAGGCTTTCTCCCGAGGTGAAGGTAGCGTCTTCTATTCTGAGCCCAGCATGAACACTCCGTGTCGACAGTGAAGAACCTAAGTTAGTAGATAATACCTGGATTTCTTAGGTTGTATCTGAGGTACTTTGTTCACTAATTTTTATCGTGCAAGTTCCATTTCAATTATTCATAGCAATACTGAATAATGAATAGAGACATATCCTTTAAAATAATCTGCAAAATGTAAGATAGCCTTAGCCAGTAGGGCAGCTTTATAAGTTTTAAGCACTGCATTTTTGTGGAAAATCAGGGCCAGATAAAGATTACTAAAACTGGACTGCATGTAGTTTGTGTCAACTCGTAAGGATGCTGGTCTCTTTTTACAGGAAAATTGTGGATAGAATAGATGACAACAAAGATGGCTATCTCACAACAGAGGAATTAAAAAACTGGATTAAACGGGTACAGAAACGCTATATCTATGAAAATGTGGCTAAAGTTTGGAAGGACTATGATCTAAACAAGGACAACAAAATTGCCTGGGAAGAATACAAACAAGCCACATATGGTTATTATCTAGGTAAGTTAACATTTTCAGCTTATATGCTCAAAGGCTATTGAAATTAATCCATATCAATAGTATTTATAAAATAGTAAACACAAATCAATACAGGCTGGGGGATGGAGGGATTGAGAGCAGCCTTGCCAAGAAGGACTTAGTACTGGTGGATGAAAAGCTGGACGATAACCTAGCAGTGTGCGCTCGCAGCCCGGAAGGCCAACCGTATCCTGGGCTGTATCCCCAGCAGTGTCACCAGCAGGTCGAGGGAGGGCATTCTGCCCCTCTACTCCGCTCTGGTGAGACCTCACCTGGAGTCCTGCGTCCAGCTCTGGAGCCCTCAGCACAGGAAAGACATGGAACTGTTGGAGCGGGGCCAGAGGAGGCCACAAAAATGATCAGAGGGCTGGAACACCTCTGCTCTGAGGAAAGGCGGAGAGAGTTGGGGCTGTTCAGCCTGGAGAAGAAAAGGCTCTGGGGAGACCTTATGGTGGCGTTTCAGTACTTAAAGGGAGCTTATAAGGAAGATGGGGACAGGCTTTTTAGTAGGGCCTGTAGTGATAGGACAAGGCATAGTGGTTTTAAACTAAAAGAGGGTGGATTTGTACTGGATATAAGGAAGAAATTCTTTACTGTGAGGGTGATGAAACACTGGCACAGGTTGCCCAGAGGGGTGGTAGATGCCCCATCCCTGGAAACATTCAAGGTGAGGTGGGACGGGGCTCTGAGCAACCTGATCTAGTAGAAGATGTCCCTGCTCATTGCAGGAAGGGTTGGACTAGATGACCTTTAAAGGTCCCTTCAAACCCAAACTATTCTATGATTCTATTGGAAGGCATCATTTCATGCCTTACAGTCAACAGGAGTTTGGTGTCACATTTAGGACTCTTGAAAATTGCATTAAATTTTATAGAATCTCAGATGTCAAAAGCACTTCGTAGTTGTTTATTGCAGCCATTTCCACATGGGCCAAAAGAACACAGAAGGTTTTGTAGAGGGATTATTAAATGTACTGACAAAGCTGAATTAAAGTCTTCTGCAGTTAGAAATATTTTTTTAACATTAAAAACGGTGCTTTAATTAAAAAAATATATTGCATAATTAAGCACTATTTGTTAATTCAGTCTATCTAAATCTAGATGCTAGAAATTTAGGCTGGGTCTAGGCTATAGCAAAGTTATTGATTAAAATAGTTCTTGCAAAATAACATGCTTCAGACTGTGATCAACTGCAAATTAAAATACTTAATAAAAGAAACATGTATTAAAAATACATCCGAGTCTTTTCCCCCCGCCCCACATACATTCCCTTTGCTTTTTATAAGTTAATGAAGGGAAAGGAGAAGACATCGCTTAAGCTAAAGGGCAGTGCTGACAGAACAACAAATTGGTATTAATTGACCATTTATACTGGAATCAAGAAGACAACGTCTGCCTTCCATAGAGGCAGTTTCTGGAGCAAGCTTCCAGTAGCAGTAATAATTCCAACGTCTATCTTAGAGTAAAATGGAGCTTATTATGTTTGTGGCAGGAAATATTTGACACACCATCCCTGTAGCAGTGTCCCTGGGAGCCCTTCTCAGCTCTTTTACTTTGCTCTCTGTAACCCCCGAGATTTGGAGAACAGCTACTACCTTGTGGTCTTGTGTTAATGCACAGTGAACGTTCCCATCTGTGATTCCTGGACTAGTCTTTTTCAACCATGTTTGTCTCCCAACGTGCAAATTATGAAATTGTTATAATATGAATATTTTTCATGTTTGAAGTCAGCTTAGTGATCCTATTTTAAAAATTATATCAAATACCATTCGTTTTATACCACTGAACACCCTGAAAAAATGTCATTGTTTTAAACTGAAAATAATTGTTAGGTTCCCTGTAGCAGAGGCGTAGCAGTTAGATAATTTCAGTCTGCCAGCTTCTGAAACCACTTTCCTTTGGCTTGCTTGCTTTTTGAAGCTGAAAAGTTGTGTGTAGATCACACTGATTCCTCAGAAGAATAAAACTTCTGTGAATTAAATCTACCCCAAATACTGCCTAAGCAGCACTTGTAAAATCAGATTAAAAAAACCATGGACCTAAGAAGGATGATATACAATACTGCAAAATCCATTATCCTAGATTCCAAAAGAAGGCTTACTCAGACATTTACCTGTACTACTAAGTCACCTTTAAAAATCAAACCAAGTGCTTGACCCCTGAATTTAAAACTTCACAGGACAGAGAAGATCCATTTTAACACAGCAGCTATTCTGGCAATAAGCCTTTGTATTTCTAGACTCTAACAGCAAATTGGGGTACTTCTTTGTGGCAATATGTGTTAAAAGGAACACAGCTTTGAGGTTGTCTTGATTAATTTGCAGAAAATCCCGAAGAATTCCAAGATGCAACCGATCAGCACAGTTTTAAAAAAATGCTGCCCAGAGATGAAAGACGATTCAAAACTGCGGATCTGGATGGAGACTTAGCTGCCACTCGTGAAGAATTCACTGCTTTCCTTCACCCAGAGGAGTTTGAGCATATGAAAAACATCGTTGTCTTAGTAAGCAGAGCAAAACCAATGCCATTGCTTTTACTTTTATTTTTTTGGATGAGCTTTGAAATGCTTCTCTAACCTTTCCATGCAGGGTTTAGAAAGAGACACAGATAACAGCCAGATGCGGAACAGAAAGGAGTGTTTCATGAAATTCACTTCATTTAGAGCTCTCAGTATAAGAAAGACTTGTTAAATGCACTTAGGCAGCTAAATGGAATCAAGAAACAGTCTTGGGGTACGGACTTAACACACAAATGAAAGGAAGGGTATGCTGACATGTGGCAGCTAAGTGGTCCAAACTTGCGTCTGCCCCTAACTTAGGCATGGTGTCCAGTTCATTCATGCGCAGGGAATTTTTTCAACATGAAAGGACGTTTGTATATTCATTGTGTAAACAACAATCACATTGCTATCACTGAGAGTACATTTGCCAGTGTACAGGCGCAGGTCAAGGCCTCAAACGTGAAATGATCAAAGAGGCAAGGAGCCAGAATTCTCAGTTCTCTCTTGCTTACTTCAATGCCAAACTGTTTTCCAGGAAACCTTAGAAGACATAGACAAAAACGGGGATGGTTTTGTGGATCAAGATGAGTACATTGGTAAGTGTTGAGGTTTCTTATATAATCTCCAGTCCATTTGTCCATCTTCTCTCAAATTTGCAGCAGTATTAACAAGCCAAAGATGAACGTTTTTGTGCTCCAGTTCAACTATTTTAAACCAACCATCTAATCCAGAAAGTTTAATTTCATTTTAGGCAGATAGCAACATCACCATCAAAAGGTTCCTCACAGTTTGCAGTTTAAGATTCTCCTCTTAGTCTCATGTAATTTGGCTAAGAGGATCTAGAATAATATTTTTGTGACGGGAATACTCTCTGTATGCTTGACCACATTAGCAGCTTTTTGAAGGCATTGACTGGAGATGCAGGAGGATCAGAAATTGAATTAGTCTCTTCCCTAGTTTGAATGGCACCCAACTATGCAAAATAGCTGGGAAGCACACATTGCAAAAAAAAGAAAATTCACCTTTTTTTCTACTAGATATTTTCCTAATTCAATTAGGAAGTAAGAACCCGTACTTTTCTAATGGTTTATATGGTGATGCTATTACATTTCTTCTAGAAATAAAGGGTGCATTAAAAATGAACTGTGCAAAAATAGCACTAAGATTTAAGATTCTCAAAGAAGTTGTGAAATGCGTGCAAGTCAGCTGTGCATTACTTTAGTGGCAGAGAGAGAACAAAAACAGTGATCAGTCACAGTTAATTTGCACAAACTTCGCTCACCCTAGGCAGTTAGCTGCTGTCTTGCACTTAGATCTGTGAAGGCAAAACAGAAGCAGGACTAGAGATCAGCAGTACTCAATAAGTTTTAGCGTTTTGAATCACTATGCTGATTCCAAAAGCTAACTTCTCGCATTGCACTCACTTGGATGGATTTTAAATGAAGAAGGTAGCACCAGGAAAGCATTAGTGCAAACTTGGATGAATCTTTCTGTTTCTAGTGGTGCTATAAAGATCACTTCACGTATAATCAAGAACAATATACACACGTTAATTAATGGCAGGGGGTTTCTATTCCTTGTAAATTATATTTAGCCTCAGAATGTGAATGCTATTCATTTATGACTGAAATAACAGAGCAGCATAATTTCCACAGTAATTTCAGTTCATTCAGTGACATTACCTACATATAATTATAAGGCAATTGTCAACATTTGATACCATGTGAATGCTGGGTTTTCTTGTTTTCTATAGATAGGCACATAGAATGTTCTAGTCACAATCACCCCACATTGGCAAGGATGATAAAAATCAAATTGACAGGACATGTCAATTGCTTCAAATAAACAATATAATTTGCACTTTAAAAAAATTTAAAAAGAAGGTGAATGTGTTGTCTGAAGTTTTTTTCATGAGTTGAGGAAAACTATGCTTAAAATATTTCTACTTCCCTTTTTCAGATACAATTTATTCTATTTCTGATGAAGCTGGGGTTAAAAAACAAACAGAAACCCAGCTCCCCTCTTTGGTAGTTTAAAAGGAACAACAAAAAGAAGTCCAAAAATTGCGGTCTCGATATCAAGTATTTGATGGGGAAAGCTGCTGAAGGTTATAGAACGCTTCCTCCCTCCTCACTCCTTCCTTCCTCCCATTTTGTCTTTTACAAAATTTGGTTTAGGTTTTACACAAGAAGTGAAGCAAAATACCCTTAGTCATGTTAAGCAGAGAGAACTAAATTCTTATTGTGCATGAGCAGGTAATAGAGTATTTCAGGGACACTGTGGACAGTTCTACCAATAGAGAACTGCAATCTAGTGTACTCGCTCACGCTGCAGGTTGGAGGAGGTTGTTCCTAGATTTGAGACCAGCATTTATACTTCCTATAGATAACAGCCAGCCTCTGGCCCTGAGACCATCCGGGGGGGGCACTTCTCCTTAGCACATCCTCAAAAACCAAACCCAAAAGGTGTAGGAGCAGTATCACAAAGCAGGCTTTAATTATGAACAGGAAAGTGGAAGGCTGGAGGAGTAAGCAGCCCTGATGGGCAGGAACCAACTGATTGGCCACAGTGACCAGAAAGAGTAAAGTGGACACACTACTCAATTTGGAAGGCCTATGCCGTAAAGAACAGATACAAATCACTTGCTCTTAGTACTCACTGCTACTCTCTCAACTCTACACAGATAGCTGCTGCCACAGTGGCATTTTCCTATTGATGCTTCTTAAATATAGCACAGGACTGATGTGCACAGCAGCTTGTGTATGTAATCTCTGCATCCTGTGTCACACGTGGTACTCCATCCCAAGGTATCAGTCTATGGCAAGTGCACTGCCTGTGGTTTCTGACACAGAACGCACCACATTCATGATGACTTCTCCAGGTCTTCCTTTGTAGAATACCACTTTCTGCTGGAGCGTGCTGCAGCACTGCATGGTTAGAAAAGGACTCCTCCACTGAGATGAATTTCTCTTATGTGGACCTCTCTAAAAGCAGGACAAAAGTATTGAAGTTCCATTTATCAATTTTTGTTTTCCTAAATTTCCCCTGTGCCTTTTTTACCTTAACCACTCTGCTGGCTGGAGTCTGATGTTATCCACAAAGACATTTGCTGGCAGGGACAAGATAGAAGTGCTGAGTTCTTTTCTCTGCATGTGACTGAGGCCAGCACTAAAGCTTATGATTGCTGTTTAACTAAAGATCCTTAAAGAATTTTTTTCGTTCTGAAATTCAGTGGATGATGGCCTTTGGATAGGTTCACCTCTAGTGTTAGGCTCACCAGCAGTGCACAGTTACAATACAAGGGTAACGTAAAAATGGGCAGAATCACCAGCAGTGATGAAATAGACCCAAGAGAAGATAGATGGAGCTACTCTATTTACACCCCGCATTTCATTTTCTGTACAAAGAAATGCTGTGCAAAGAGTGAAAAGTTTAACCTTCCTCTGAGGAACACTGTGCAAATGTCTTTAGTTTGTGCATAATTTGCAAATTAAATGTGACTCGAGTGAGACCTTTACTTCCTCTCCAGCTGATATGTTTCCAAATGAAGAGGGTGGACCAGAGCCTGACTGGGTCATTACAGAGCGTGAACAGTTTTCAGATTTTCGTGACCTCAACAAGGATGGAAAGATGGACAAAGAGGAGATTCAGCACTGGATTCTCCCCCAAGACTATGATCACGCACTAGCTGAAGCCAGGCACTTAGTCTATGAGTCGGATGTAGACAAGGTACTTAGTGTTCTAGTATATTTTTCTTTTAAAGTTATGTAAGGTGGTGTGATTTTTTTAAACATATCAACTAGCAAGAGATTAGTACTAATAAGAAAAGTTATTAGGAAATTTTAAATGGCGTTTTAGAGGCTGGAATTTCTAGTGCATTAATGTGTCAATTCCAATTTCAGTTGGTAGGGTTAGAATCACAAATTAAAAGTAGCAAAATGTAGTTCATAAGCTCTAGAAGTCCCATTGGCTTTCAGTAGGTTATATAAGAAATTATTTATCATCTTAAACCTGGAAGTTTTATGACAGTAGAAAGATCCTGTTTCCTTTTAACAGCAGTCATGGTTTTTGTATGCTAATTTAGACTGCAAGAGAAAAATTAAAGATATATCACATAGGATGTAGCAAAAAACCCCATTTTTATAATCAAACGCACATCTTTGACTTAAAGACTGCTCAATGTGTACAACTGATTAATGGTTCAGTAGATCCCAGATGGTGATTTTCAGAAGTGCAGTGTGAATAAAGGTGGAACCTGAAAAGCTGAAACACTTTTACACAGAGAATGCGTAAATTGTTAACATAAGCAACCATCTTCAACAAAATACACCGGAGGATTTTAATTTTTACTGTTAGGAAGGTAAAACCAAACCGCAGGGCAAAACTGCGCATGAGATAACCCATACACTGATTGGCAGTGAGCTAATTACAAAGAATTTTCAGTTAGCAGTTTGACCCAGCTGAAGCCAGTGGGACTTGTGTCTCCCACTGGGGTCCAAATTTCACTCACCATGACAGCTGCAGTAATTCCTGAACCTGCAGTCTGCAATTGTCTGTTTTCTAGGGCTCTTATAAGTCTGTGCTGGTATGTCTTTTACTTAGCTTTGAAAGTGTTCTCACAGAGATTTTATTTTCCTCCCGCCAGGATCAAAAACTAACGAAAGACGAGGTTCTAGACAACTGGAATATGTTTGTTGGAAGTCAAGCTACTAATTATGGAGAGGACCTCACAAGAAACCATGATGAACTATGATACAATGTACCAACCAGTATGCCACAGACCTTTTCTCCACTTTACTGAAATCACCGTGTCCATCCCCTATTTTTGGGGAAGATGGGCAAGGGACGCACTCACAACTGAATGACTTGCATTAATATATTTTTAACGTGCCAGCTTATTACCTCAGAAACCGTGTAGAAATAGCTTTTTACTCTTTTCACATGGCTAAATACAGTATCTAATTACTACAGTTTTATTTTGGAAAAAATCAAAAGGTAACTTTTCTTAATAGATTAGAGCCTGCCTGATCTAGAAAGGGCAATTCTAAAACATAATTGCAAGGATCTTTAATAGTGAAATATTTTCTTCAAGTACCTGTTTTTACTGTAGTGAAATGCAGCTAGGATTAGAAAGAAACCTAATGTTTAAACAGACTAAGCTATTTAGTCGTCTTTTTTAATAGCATATAACAATTAAGAGTTATACGTTGACCCTCCTATACAGAGAAAAGGTTTGACGAAAGATCCAGAACCTTTTTCTCCACACTGCTTTTCTCTCCTGGTTTGGGCGAGAGGTGCTAAAGAAGGTATCTGGCAGCCCTCTGGTTCGTAGCTTTATAAGTGCAACATGTACGCCTGGCCCTGCTCTCTTACCCCCATCACAGGTCAGACAGCACACGTGGCCCAGCACCCTGTGCCGGCATTGCTCAGCGAGGGTTGGGGAGTTCATAGTGACAGCTGCTCCTTCTGACAACAGAATAACGTACGATTGTTTGTGGGCTGTTGGTTACGCTGTTTCCTGGGAGGAATTATGCCACATGGAGCATAATTTATCTCATGCTTTTCGCACTTCACCCAAGTCATACTCTTGTTCACACAGTGTGAATGGCAGCAGTTCTGTGATGGAGAAAGAATGAGACATATCACCCCTCTGGGCCTTCTGTCTTCTCTGCCACATAAGAGGACAGATTTATGTGGCTAAAGTTCTCGATTTGTATGTATATACGTGTAAGTACATGTCACTGAAGCAACTACATGAAGACAGCTTTCCTCCTAAAGGAAGGGGTAAGCCTTCCACACAGGTGCTTTCTTTTTTACTGTATAATGTGAGCTGTTACATGTATATTTTTATATACCCAACTTAGATAAGTTTGGTTGTTTTAAAATGTACTGGTTTTCAAATAAGCACAATAAAACCAATACTTCTTTTTGATACTATGAAGGTGCAATAACACTAACACAGACTAGCACAGAAAGATGATGTGAAATCAGGAACCAAGCCTTTAAAGCCAGTAGTTGCTAAAGCATCGGGTCATTGGCAGCTCCTACAGCACTGGGTGGTCATCTACAAACAGCAGCTGGACGTATGGCACCAACTGTTTCTTCTTCACCTCATTAAAAAAATAAGTGGCTAGAAATGAGTCCAATATAGATAGTTGCCATTGCTATCACTAGAATCTGTTCTGAACACTAACACTAGGAGATTAGGGCTCCGCAACACAGTTCACCTGCAGGTTCCTTGGAGGTTTTCTGTACAGCATCACACACTGGGGATCATACAACCATCTAGAGAGGAGCTTTGAGACTCCCAGCTTGCAGTATGCTTCAGTAATGTAACAAATCTGTGAAAATCATCATGAGACAATGCAGAACTGTGACCTCTGTAAACAGTTGTCATTTTTATAAGGTCATGTAAGAACTGTGGCGAAATATTTTACATCTTCCAATTGAAGATAATTACATCTAGATATTAGAGTCTGGCAGATATTACACGTTCTTGCTAGCACAATTATTAAGCTTTTGGTGTGCACTTCTTATGATATTGCCAGCAATGTCTCCGAAAAGTCCCTACCTCTTCCACTAACATACAGTAGGACAAATGTCATAAGACATAAGCGAACTGTTTTTGCTCTTCCAGTACCCTCAAGTTAAGTAAATGCCTAAACGCAGTGTTATCTGAGAAGCAATAAAATTGTATCTTGGCACATGTAAAAGATTATCTGTTTTGTTTATGACTTGGATTTGGAAAGGTATTCAGTAATCCAAATTTCTTGAGAACTTTTGTTTTTAGTAGTCCTTTCATACTAAATTTTAACATTTTGTATCTTGGTAACAGAATTGCAGTACTCTCTCTGCACTCAGATTATCTTCTGCTGTTTCAGGGAACAATTCCTTAAGAGACCTCAAAAAAATCTTGTTTCCCACAAGTGAAACTGCAGCTCAGACTGGATGCTTAAGCCAAGGATTTTCACTGGAGCCCAAGGGAAGGTTGTTTGCTAACTCTTGTTGAAATTGAGTGGAGTTGGGTGCTGAGACACTAAGCATCACTGCCTTCAGCTAAACATGACACTTCCAAATCTACTGCATTCTGTCCCAGCAAAAAAACCTGCATCTGAGCTTTGACAAGCAATCATATTTTCTTCCACGTTACTCAAATGAATTTGGAATAGAATTAGCATCAGAGAGAAATCATGTTCCCATGTTTGTTCTCAATTTCTGTTAATGCTTGGAACACATCGGGCATTTTCCAATATAAAACTATACCTGCATCAGTAATGATGCTAACATCAGAGGAGTTACTCATGCAAACAGGAACTGGAAATTTAGACCGATAGTATTTTAACAGTAAGATCTTGTTTTATAAAAAGAATGGTACTCAGTTAGGCTATATCCAGCTATGAAAAAGACAAACATACCAACTGTAATGAGATTTAAAATAATCAAATTATTTATCAATCATTGTAAGGATTATGGACTCATATTAAGATTAGAAGCTTTTTTTTATAAACCAGGATATAGAAACATTTTTTTTGAGAACATAAGTGTCACTGAAGTGATTTCACTCTAAAGGCTACCTTCTTCTTTCTGCAGCTCTGCATAGTGTTTCACTTACCAGCAGTCAGTAATGCACAGTACATTTCGTGCACTAAATTTCCCTTTCAAGCTCAATGCACTGAGGAAGAGGAACTCCAAAAGAGACTAGAGCTTCTGGGTTTAAATTTAACACTATTTAAGGAAAGCAAACCTTTGCTTAGGGGATATAACTGTTAACATTGTGATTTTTCAAGCCTAAGGTTTCTAATGGGGTTTGACTGTTCTAGAGATAACATTTTTTTTTCCTAGGTAACATATTTCAAGTCATATTATGAGCAAACGTTACAAAATTTTAGTGTAATGTGAAATACTGTAATGTCAGATAGCATTATTTATCTGCTTAATATGACTAAAACCATTAATTGCTGGGAGCCATACTTCATCTCAGCAACAAGAAAACCTATTTTGTGCCTATCTTGTCAGTTATTGCCGATTTTCTTAATGAATTGTGACTTAGTGAAATGCTGTTGGGAAACGTGTTTATGTATTTCCAACTGCAGGTTCTGTATGGTAACTCTTATTACATAGATCCTCCATTAACTAAATGTTTTCATTATGCCTATGCCAAAACATATCAAAGGTGCATTTTTCTTAGATATCTGGAATAGCCATTATTATTGCACATGCAGTTTTAATTATTAGAATTTATGAAATGAACTAAGTGGCTAATGTTCATTGTCTTATATTTCCATTTGATGATTCAATCAGGTTAAATCTGTCTCATATTCCAGTCAAGGTACCATACAGAACTCCCTGAGGAAAGGAGAATGCAGCTTATCCTGATCTACTTACACAAGTATCTTACAATAGTTGGATAATGCTTTGCTATTTGCAATGCAGAAGTTGATCTTGACCCCAGTGACAGCAGAACTCCTAGTCCCTATATGGAGGAACTAAGGCCTTAGCCACCCAAAGGCAAGCAGAACAACAGGATGGTGGGACCTGAGGTTAGAAATAACCTTACGACCATCAGATGCTGATCTCCTTACTACTGCTGAACACTAACTTTTAGGAATTTAGACTGATTCATACTCATGTAAGATAGTTAGGGAAGAAGTCGTGTTCATGAAAGACAGTGTCTAATGTTTTACTAGTCTGTTCAAGTAAACTTAGCCATTTTACTGAGTGATGGTGGTATTACTCCTACACAGCAAGTTACCATTAGCAAATGGAACTAGTGTTACAGGGGGGCAGGAGGAGCCACAGAAAACATTTCAAGGCCAAAGATTTTGCAAAACCTGTCTCAGCTTGTAGTCAAACACTTGGAAGCATACACCACTAATAAGCAGTGCCTTTTACTCCAATTTAGTGTGTGCTATATTCCATTTAAATGTCTAGCCAGGGGCATATTAACCATATTCACTAATTACAAAGGAAGAATTTAGAATTATTTTGCACTGAAGTTTATCAGTTAGACTGATGTCCCTCAAACTCAAGTGTTGTATATGTTATTCCAAACTTGATGAATTTCAAAGCAACCTCAGAAGAAAAAGGTACCAGCTTTCTCATAGTGTGAAATAATGTACAAGGGACATACATGCGTATGTGACACAACAGGCGATTTCACACCTGCATTCTGTCTCTCCACAGGAGAAGGTAAAATACCTTCAACAGATAGGAGGGTCTTTTCACTGTGCCAGTGACAAGAATACAATTTCATGGATATGCGTTGCTATTCCTATTGATAATGAAAGGATATCTATCTTCAGCACAAGTGTTGGCTGTGGTGAGCACAGCAGAGTTCTGGAGCTCAGTTTCATATACTGCATGTTTGTTATTTTCCTTGTGGAAGAATTTATTTCATAATCATAAATTGTCCAAATATGATCTGGTAGACCAGCATCTGAAGTTTCAGTATTTGCCTAAGTGTTTTGTAGTTGGCCTCACATTTGTCGTCTGAAACCATCATATACCAGAAATTCCAGGACAGCCATATAGAACAAGTCATGGCATGATACTGAATCTGAATACTAATTAAAGGTGACACATACATTAGAAATGACAAAGTTTCATCATATCAACAAAAATTTAGATAAACATCAAGATGCTTTCACAGTCAAGTGGGAAATCTTTTCTTTATATAGGAATAGCCTGACAACCTTTAAAATGAAAGTCCGTTGGACAAAAACTTTATGAAAAATTAGTATAGCTTTTGAAGAC